TTCATCTGTATCTGTTTTATATGGTCTCTTGCATCTTTGTAGTAGAGGGTCCATGTAATGTGTTTGCTTAGTTCGTCTCCAGTGTTTTGTTCCTTCTGTGCTTCTTGTTAAGTGCTGTCAAGTCAGTTCCGATTCATAGCGATCCTGTATAGGGTTTCCGAGGAGCAGCTGGTGAATTTGCAATCCAGTGCTGATCATACAGTGCCACACCAAAAGTTCTGTTGGTATCTTAATTTCATTTTCAGATTCCCTGCAGCCCCAATGCTTTCTTTCTTTTTTTAATGTTTTATTGTGAATTATGTGATAGGTTTACATGGGAGAACATTAGGTTTACATTCATCCTATTGTATATCGTTTCATTGCCATGGTTACAATCCCCTCCATGCATCATCCCGTGCTTTCTTACTGTTTCTTTGATTTAGGTTCTAAACAAGTTTCACACATTTTGTTGGTTGTTAGGAGGAACCCATGGAGTAAAAGACCTGTTTGTTCTTTTTTCCCTTGCAATTTATTTATTGAAGAAACCTGGATTTTTATCCTGGCAAGTTTCCCACAACCTGGAGTTTGCTTACTGCATTGCCCTGGTGGTGGTTTACTTTTCTCTGTTTTCATTTTTCTTTCCTCTGCGTTGATAGTTTGATCTGATTCAGTTGTGGGGTTTTTGTTTCTCAAGTCTACATCATAGATGCTCTTGTGTACCCCATCAGGAGGCACATGTTTTCTGGTTGTTTCTCTGTTGACGTTAGCAATCACTGATCATTGCCTAAATGCAGTGTTTCTTTATAGGGTTTTAAAATGCTAGTGTTCTATCATTTTTTCCTCTTTTATTAGCTGTACTATTTCAAACAACAACTTCTAAAGAGATTTTCCTTGTTAACTATCTGGTTACCTGAGGACATAGCTATATCTACTGATTTACTGTTTTGAGACTGATTGGTTGTCCACTGAGGTGTGGTTTTTTCCCCTAGTATTGTCATAAACCCATAGATAAATATACTTGTTATTCTTGTTGATGCAGTGGTATGCTGTCTGTGAACCGTAGTGACAGTGAGTCAGTTAAGGTGGAAGTTCATGTTAAAGCACTGTCCCGTTTGGCCTCTAGCCTGGGGTGCATGTCTCTTGGCTCTCACTAGAGAATACTGAGGGCACTTTCTGCTTTTGTGTCAACTGAAATACAGCATCATTTCAGTGGGGTGTTTAGATTTCCTATTGTGTCCAGATAAAGTTCCCTAGAGGATTAGCATTTTCATAAGCTAAACCATTTTCATAAACTTCTTAAAAAAGAAAAATTGAAGTACTTTGGATGCTACAAAGATAAATGAGGTGAGGATTCTGCTTTCAAGGAGCAAATAATGACAACTCAGAAGAAAGTGCTTGTAAGAGGGCTGAAGTGAAATTCTGTAAGAGTTCACAGCAAGCCAGGAAATTTGGTGAGAATCAGGAATGGTTTGGGGAACGATGTGGCATTAGATCTGATTTTGAAAGATGGAGTAGGAATTGGACAGATGAAAATGGGCAAAAAGGTGTTACTGGGTGTAGGGGATCTCTAAGGTGGGAGAGCATTAGGTGACAATAAGATTAGAGACAGAGTGTGACTGTATGACCTGCAGAGTTGGCTCTGATTTTGAGAGTGGAGGGGTGCTCCCAGGAGATCAGGGTCAGTGAGGAACAGACTAGACAGAAGGATCCATGCAGAGAGGGGCTGAGGGACTCGGGCTCTGCAGTGCAAGCTGAAAGCAACTGGGTCAGTTTTAAGTAAGGTCTACTGATGGTTTTGCTGGAGATCCGGAGCCCTGAGGTGGTGAAGATAGCAGAGTGGCATCTGTGGTCGCATTAGTACCAGGTGGGTGGGTGTTCTCCAGTGACTCTTCAGTCTCTCCTTAGGTTCCTGGATGGATGGAATGATGTCATTCCTTGAGATGGGAACCACAGAAAAGAGGGGAGAGTTGATAAGGGGGGTGACTTGTGGGTGTACAAACCCTGAGTTGACTCTGGGGCTTATAGCGGTGGTCCCCAGTGATGTTCTGGTTAGTTACAACACTGGGACCTTTTGGATTTGTGCCTTAGAGGTAGGCCTGCTTGCTTCACTCCATCCCACCATAGGCATCCTTCACAGCTGGTAACCTATAACATGTCCTTATTTTTCTAGGACCTTATGTCAGGTGAATCTTGGGAAGTGGTTGAGGACTGTGTGTATCACTCCAGCCTGCTGGGTTCTCAGTATGGGGAAATAATGAGAATTCAAAAAACAGCACCAAAAAGAATGAACTATGTAGGAGAATTCCTGTCAATGTTAGTCACTGTTATTGTTCAGAGTGGGTCAGATGTGTTGGGGGATGCCTCCCCAGGATCACATGCCTCAGATTCAGCTTAAATGCTTCTCAACAAGGTCTAACCTGGCTTGGCTAGTGTGGACCGTGCTTTACTTCTCCACCTTCCCAGCCTGGATCAGGAAAGCTTGTGCTTGTGTGTTCCCACTGGTATTGAGAGCTGTCTTCTAGAGAGCAAGCTTACTTCCCACTTCTCCACCTGGCTGAACTGTGGTTTCCAAAGATGTGTCCAGTCACAAACATGATGATTGGCACCTGGGTGCCTCACTGGGGCTGGACCTGGGTAAAACTAGCTGGAGGAGGCAGAGGCAGCTGCAATCGAGCCTGACTCTGCCAGGTGGCCCAGCCTTGCCCTTACCTAATTCCAGGAGCTAAGAAGGGATAGGCCAAATGGGATGTGACTTGATTCACTGAAGCTGGGAGTGGGGAGGGCCTGGACCTGCTTCTCCTGAATCACTGGTTGACAAATGGCTTGAGTTCAGGGTCTTTCTGAGTAGGGACTTGGGACAAAGGCCTTATGGTGGGGCAGTCACCACTCTTTGTACTCACAGCAGAATGGCCTTCAAATGACTCACCCTGTCATTCTCCTTTGGTTTGGGGAGTGCTTTTGGTGCCCTGCAGAATATGGAGCTACTCAGTGTGACATGAGCTGGAGACTTGGTAGAAGGAATTGGCATTTGATGAATGAAAATCTCTGGGTCATTTGGTAGAACCCTAGGTCTGGAAGTCCTGTGACCTACGGCCCACATGGGCCCCAGCTCTTGCAGTTTCTTCCTCCTTCCAGCTCTGACTCAGATGGTTAGATGATGGTTTATTGACCACTGGTCACATGGCAAACACTCGGGGTGGGGGGCGGTGTTCTTTCAGGGATGTGTGTGTTTGTGTCAGAGACAGAGAGAGACACTTGAGCTTGTCATGGTGAGTAGGAGTCAGTTAGGCAACCGGGAGTTAGGCAATGAACAACATAGAACAAGAGCTGTTGTAGAAATAATAAATTAGAGGCATAGAGAGGAAACCTTAGGTCACATTAATAATAAGAGTAGAGGGTTACTGGTGTAAACAGCAAGAAGGAGCCATCTCACATTTTATTTCTACGGCAGAGAGAGTACTTGTCTCTACCCTCACCAGCTGACATTTGGCTTGCCCTAGCCAGGCAAAGGATGCCAACACTGTGTGGCTATAATGTGGCAAGGTTTGTGCCCAGCTCTTGGTGGATGCTGTCATATTTGATCCTCCTGACAGAGGAGGAAACAGAGGCTTAGAAAGAGACAGTTGCTCACTTGTCCAAGGCCACACCATCAGATAGAGACAGAGCTAGTACTGGCAGCAGGGAGGTCAGCTAGCAGGATGCCGAAAAACAACCCTGGAAGGTTCTATGGGAAAAAAAAGGTTTAAATTGATAGCTTGTTGGCAAAAAAGAAAAGACTAGCCTCTTCACAAAGGATATCTCTGGTGGTTACAGTGGTGATTCTGGGTGTGGTGTGTGAGTATTGCCAGGCAGGGAGACACATGTATGAGAGACCCTTCAGAGGAGCAGGTTGGTGTGGGCCTGAGTACTCAGGAGGTTTCCAGTGGAGGCTGGGGCCTGAGTACAGCTTGTAACAGCATTACCCAGGGCTTCAGAGCATATTCCATTTTGGTCTGACAACCCTGTGTTGTTGTTAAGTGCCATCGAGTCGTTCCGACTCAAAGCGACCCTGCATAGGGTTTGTGAGGAGTGGCTGGTGAGTTTGAACTGCCAACCTTGTGACTCAAACCGACATTTTAGTCAGTGCTCATCCTATAGCATCACACCCTGTGAGGTAAGGATTTATCTTCACAATCTTTACAGATGAGGAATCTGAAATTCTGAGAAGTCAGCAGCCTCCCATGAGCTAGTTTGCTTATAGCAGACCCGGATTAGAATTCACGTCAGCCTTCACCGTCTATGTTTGGTTACTAGGCTGTAGTTATTTAAATAAAAATAAAAAAAAAAGCCTCTGTTTATTAAGCCAGGCAAAACACTTTATACATGACTATGATGTGGCAAGAGCTCTGGTAGTGTAGTGGTTACAAGTCGGGCTGCTAATCTAATGGGCAGCAGTCTGAATCTACTCGCAGTTCTGAGAGAGCAAGATAAGGCTCTCTGCTCCCGTAAAGATTTACAGCTTCAGAAAGCCTATGCAGGGTCACTGTGAGTCAGAACTGACTCCACGGCACACAACCACCACCATGATGTGGCAAGGACCCTGCTAGGCTCCTAATAGTATTTATTCATTGTAGGTATTCTCATTACAGCTCTGTGACGCACTGCCATTGAGTTGCTTCCTACTCAAAGCAACTCTGTTGTTAAGTGCCGTCAAGTCAGTTCTGACTCATAGCTACCTTGTATAGAGCTTCCAAGGAACCTTTGGTGGTTTTGAACCACCGACCTTGTGGTTAGTAGTCCCGTGCTTATCCTATAGTGCCATACCAGGACTCTATAGCCCTGTGGTTTCTGAGGCTGTAAATCTTTACAACTCTATAAGCTAAGTGTATTATCCTTATTTTACAGATGAGGAAACTGAGGTTCTGAGTGAAGTAAGTGCCTTGGCCAAGCACCTGACTGTAGAGATAGGACAGAACTCCAGGCCTTGGGACATGGTCCCCCACCCCGACCCACACCCCCAATGCCTTCTCTTTCTTCACCAGCTCATCACTCAGACCTTCAATCATCATAACCAGCTGGCACAGACAGCCCGGCGGGAGAAGAGAGCCCGGCAGGAAACTGAGCGACGGGAGAAGGCTGAGCGCGCTGCCCGATTGGCCAAGGAAGCCAAGACAGAGGCCCCTGGACCCCAGATCAAGGAGCTGACCGATGAGGAGGCGGAGCGACTGCAGTTGGAGATTGACCAGGTGAGAGTGGGCTTCCCAAACCCCATTGACCTGGGAAGTGAGGGGACCTCTTGCCAACTGCTCTGCTCTTTGCCACAGAAAAAGGACACTGAGAATCATGAGAACCAGCTCAAGAATGGCAGTCTTGACTCACCTGGGAAGCAGGTGAGATGGGCCGGGAGGGACTCAGGACTTGCTAGGAGCTTGGGAATTGCCAGTAATTCTCTAGCCTTCTTTTCTCTCTGGAATGCCCTCCCTATCCTCATTAGGTTCTGGAATCATCCTCATACTCCAGAATCTGGGTTCAAAACAAAATAAAACCCCACTGACCTTAAGTTTGAACACGAAAGTCAAAGAGCCAGAGAGGGCATTGTCTGTCCAGGTATCATCCAGGGTGCCCTGGGTCTGTGAGCTGGTCTGGCCCTTTGTGGTGGGCTACTCATACCACATCTTAAGCAAATACCCCCTCAGTGCTCCTCCCACTAATTTCTTTTCCTCCGAGTCTTGAGTCCAGTTTCTCAAGGAGTCCTCATAGCATGCATTTAGCCTTCCAGAAGTTCTGGGCTGAAACTGGGAAGTCTCCAGTACAGAAAAAGAGATTGGTAATTTGGAAGTCTGGTTTTGTTTTAGAATAACTCTGCTCAAGGCCACTTTGGTGGTGGAGGCTCTCTTCTCAACTCTGTCAGCTTGCACTGTCAAGGGGTCTCTGGGTCTATCTCTGTCACTGTCCCATAGTCATGTCCTTTGTCATATGGTATAATAGTGTGTGTTCCTCTCAGGCAGAGTTCAGGACCCTGGAATGGGCTGGGACCCCAGGTCTCTTTCATTTTGTGGCTGTTTGCCCAGTGTCATCTGTGGGCCTGGCCCAGGTCAGGGCTCAGTCTGTGCTTGTCCAGTTACTAGACACCTTTGACTGTAAGCAGGAGGCGGAGGAGGATGAGGAGGAAGATGAAAAAGACAAAGGGAAAATGAAGCCCAACCTTGGCAATGGGGCCGACCTGCCTAACTACCGCTGGACCCAGACCCTGTCAGAGCTGGATGTGAGTGGCAGAGCCAGGGGTGGATCTCAGGGAGCCGGTCAGGGGTCCTAGTGGCCACAGTGGCTCTTCTGACTGCCCATGCCCCTTGCTTGCAGCTGGTGGTACCCTTCCATGTGAACTTCCGGCTGAAAGGGAAGGATGTGGTGGTGGATGTCCAGCGACGGCACCTCCGGGTGGGGCTGAAGGGGCAGTCAGCGATCATTGACGGAGAGCTCTACAATGAGGTGAAGGTGGAGGAGAGCTCATGGCTCATTGAGGATGGCAAGGTGGTGACAGTGCATCTGGAGAAGGTAGGAGGGGCCTAGCCTGGGGCCTAATACTGCCGGGAAGGTGATGGTGGAAAAGGGGAGGGCGTCTGCTTAGTCACTCAGGGACTGTGCTGAGAGCTTTTGGGTTGTCTCAGTCTCCTCAGTAGGACTTCGAACGAGGTCTGTCCCCACTTGACAGTTAAGAAAAGGGCCTCTCAGAGATTTGCTCAAGTGAGAGGGCTGGAGTCAAGATCGAAACAGTCTTTGGTACCAAAGCCTCTTTCTTACCGTTAGCTTTGTATGTGTATTCATTCTTCATTCTGTTCAGCAAACATTTGACTAGGCATCGGTGAACAAAACAGAAAAGTCCTCAGGGGACTTTTGTTCTCTATCCTTTCTTCACAGTAAGAGGGGACACAGACACTACTAACTAGTAAAGAAAGGTGTATCTGTACACTCAATAGTCCAAGGAAAGTGTCCATAGCGCATGACACTCCCCCAACCCACCTGGCCTCTGCTGCCCCTCACTCACCCTTCCTTACCTTTGTACTTGCTGCTCCTAAGTACAGTGTCCTTCCCTGCTGCTTTTGATCTGGTATCTGGTATATTGCTTGTCCTCAAGGCGCCTTCTGTACTTTATTCTTCCTCTTATCATGCTACTTTGTCACTGTTTGTCTCCATGCCTCTCTCCCCCAGCTGTTGGGGAGGGCAGTGACTAGGTCCCAGGTGCAGGATGTGGGTAGGAGAGTTTGGTTCTGGAAGGGTTGCAGGCGGTTCCCAGGACCCAGAGAGAGCTGCCACCCACCCCCTTGGTGATTTTCCTCCTCATAGATCAACAAGATGGAGTGGTGGAACCGCTTGGTGTCCAGTGACCCCGAGATCAATACTAAGAAGATCAACCCTGAAAACTCTAAGGTGAGGCCTGCCTGGTTGGGAGAGCTTTAACAGGGAAGTGAAGGGCCTGGGTGGCCCTGGAACTTTCTCCCATCCCTGACACCGTCTGTCCCCAGCTGTCAGATCTGGACAGTGAGACCCGCAGCATGGTGGAGAAGATGATGTATGACCAGCGACAGAAGTCCATGGGACTACCCACCTCTGACGAGCAGAAGAAACAGGAGATTCTGAAGAAGTGAGCATTTGGGAGATGGAGACTTAAGGGGTGGGACCTGGAGGGCCTGGATGACAGCAGTGAATTACTGAGTGGGCCTACGAGCTACCCTCCCCCTCCCAGGGAGAGCCAGCATGTTTATGGCTTTATGGTTGGTGTTGGCCTGCCTACCTTTATCACCTGCTGAGGTCATCTTGAGGGCAAGGCCAACTCTGGGTAGGAAGGAAGGGATAACAGGTGGTCACTGCCACCCAGGAAAAGCAGGACCACTGTTGGCACCTCATCAGCCTTGGAGACCCTGGAGCCCCACCCCTGCTCTGCCTGGGCTGGTTACTCTCCAGATTGCTCAGGGTTCTAAAGAGATAAGACTTGACTTGAGGGACTGAGAGAACGGGGAACCAGGAAGGTAACCTGTTTGACCCCTTTGCTTCTTCTCCCCAGGTTCATGGATCAGCATCCAGAGATGGATTTTTCCAAGGCCAAATTTAATTAACTAGCCTCACTTCCAGCCATCCAAGCTTCCTTTCCCACCCTCCCTTGGGTATTGGGGCCTCAGGGCTCTGGCATGCTTGGGACTGACCCCTGCACATAGGTCCCAGGGCATCATCTGAAAAGGACTGGGGCCTTGAGGGGTTCCTATCCTCCCCAGTTGGCCTACTGTTACATATTAAAGCTCTTACCCAATTCTGTGTCCTTTCTTCCCTCTGGTCTTTCCCTCTTGGGTTGCTTCTAGGAGCTGAGGGCCTGGCTTCTAGCTCAGATTCTACCATAGGATATGCCCATTCTGTGCCTGTTTTTCATTAAAGGGAGTATTAAATTAAAATAAGACGTAGTCTGATACGATTCTGAGCAAAAGTGAGGTTTCTGGCTCCATGGACTAGAACGAATGTCAGATTCTCAAAGGCCCCAGTGACCCAGAGCAGCTAGACTTGATTTGATTTTCATCTCTGAAGAGAACTTCCCCTGCAGGCAGTGTGTCCTCCAGCCCTAGAGCAACTTCTCACTATTGTTCCCTAGGGGTAGAAGAGGAGCACGGGCTGAGGGACCTGGCCAGGACAGGATGAAGTCCATGGGCCCAGGCAGACATACTCAGGTGCTTGTCTCTGCCTGGATCTTGCTCCACTTTGGCCAGGGGCTACAGGTCATAGCAAGAATGTCAAGGTTGACCTTTCCAGAGTGACCCATGAATTTGTGGAACAGAGCATGTCTTTCCTTTTGGAATTTCACAACAGCTTTTTGAAGACTTCAGAAAGGTGGTATTGGTACCCAGCTCTGTCAATTTCCCAAACTTAAGCCCTTTTCTTCTGGGGATGCCAATAATGCTTCCCAAGGCTATCTGGAAACTTGCTCTGGGGCTGAGGCTGAGGCTGAGGCTGGGTGGAGTACCCTGGCCATACCCTGGCCTCTAGCATCCTGTGGTCATTGCGATCTTCAGAGGTCTTCATCTAGATGAGACCACAGCCTAAGGAAAAGGGCTGGTTTAATGCTGGAACCAGAGTTAACAATTGGGTCCTGTGGTCAGTATCCCCAGGAACTAGCCTTTGTGTGACAGGAAACCAAGGGACTATAGGTAAAGTGGACATGAGGGACCCTGAACCTTCCAAATTGTTTAAGAACAAGCCCATAGACCTAACATGGTCACCTTGCTGAAAGGCTGGCATGTGCACAGAGCAGCTAAGTAGGATCCTCCTGAAGCTAGCTCGGCTCCAGTGCCCAAATAAGGGTGTCCTGGTACTGCCCCCAGGTTGACTTGCCAGTTTGAGGGCAACATTGCTAAGTTTCAGGTTCCCAGCTTCCAGGCCCAGAGCCCGAGTTACCCACTGAGTTCCTGGGCCTCTGAACCTCTGAAAGGACAATGACGCCACTTCGTTCCATGGTTGATGGCAAGACCAAGAGACCTTTTATCAGCACCAGGGGTTGTTAGGTGTCGTTGAGTTGGTTCCAACTCATAGCAACGCTGTATAGGGTTGCTGAGGAGCAGCTGGTGAATTTGAACCACCAACCTTGCAGTTCAGGCCCACTGCAGTCCAGTGCTGCTGCTGTGCCACACCACGACTCCAGGGGAGAGTAGAGGTGCAGAATTAGGCAGGGCAGCTGGCAAAGGCTCAGGAATTTGGGAGCTGAAGAGATGGCCAGAGGCACAGTAGCCTGCAGATGGTAGAATTGGCAGTACAGACAGGCCTGCCACAACTCAGCAGTGAGAAAGACCCTTTGTTAGGTACCAGCACTGCTTGACCTGCTATCTCCTGGAACTCTGACCCTGAGAGGAGCTTTAGCGATGTGTTCAGGAAGTGGCCAAGAGGAGTTCTTCCCAGATTTCAACCCACAACACTGAACCCAATTATGTCCTATTCTGTCTCCTGTTCTGGGCAGCAAACAGGACAGAAAGGACAGTGTCACAGCCGAGATGACAGGTGTACATCTGTTACTTTTGTACTTGAAACTGTGGTCTAGTTAGCATGTGGAATATCAGTCAAGAACCAAACTGTTCAAGTAGGCCATCTCTGATAACATGAGTAGGCACTGCCAACAGAATTCCATATAGAGGCCCTGCTAACCACCCAGCCCAATCTATGTAAGCTGCTGGGGGTACCCCACCCCCAAGGGAGGGAGATGTTTGCATGATTGGTTAGGGTGGCACTGGGGTCAAGTTAGGGTCTGATCCGGAAAGGTACTCTTCAAGTCATTGCTTCCCATGCTCCAGGCCACCTGAAGGACGTGGGCAGGAAGGAACAGGCCAAGTGGAGATGCATCAGGGATGTGGACACCAAGGCCCAGTGAAATGCATGTGATCCTAGAACCAGTCAGCCAAGGCAGAAAGTGGGCACTGCTTCTGGGCTCATGGCCTGGACGCACCCAAAGTGGGTCCTGGTCTCCCTTTTCGTTCTCTAGTTGTGCTGCTCCCAGAAGGGGCTGTGGCTGCTGGGCCTGGCAGGGGTTAGCAGTACACCTGGAGCAGGGGTGCCCCTGATGAGTCTGTGTCCGTGCCCTGGAAGGATGAATCGTGGCTGGCTGGGTACCCTAGGGGGAAAGGAGAGGAGGAAATAGGCTCAGATTGGGAAGAAGCTCATCCAGATCCATAGTTGGAGAGAAGCCTGCTGAGGAGAGCAAGATTTAAACACGGGTCATACTGATTCTTGGCTGTGTGATCTAGTCAGCTTTTTGATCTTTCTGAGCCCCAGTCTTCCCCTCTTTGAAAGGGTATCAACCCTACACCCAGGGAGGGGGTGGTTGTGAAGGCCAAGACAGCAGTACAAACCACACAAGATGCCTTTTTAGCACCAAATCCTGTGCTTTCCACCCCCAGCAATCTGGGCTTAAAGGGTGAGATCAAATCTTATTCAGTTTGCTGGTGCTGAGCACTTGACCACCTCTGGCTCTGAACCAGCCCCATGAATCCCCCCCCAACTGAACTGCTTAAAGCCAGATTGCAGGATCAGGTAGGAACCTGTGGCTGCTCAGCCCCCTTGTCCTTTTCTGTTCCATTCCTCACCCACCCCAGGAGGAAGGTGGGAGAAGGGCATGTGGGGGGGGCCCTTAGGGCAGTTCCCCCTCCTCTCTGCACTCCTCATCAGGTCAGGACCAGACCTGGGGCTCCATAGGGCCTCAGCTTCCTGGCGATGGCATCTGCGGTGGTCTCCTGGGAGATCTGCACTGTCAGTTCTAGGGAGGGAACAGATGGGGAGAAACAGTGGTCATTATCACCTCTTTTCAACCCTACCTCCACTCTGCCCCCAACCCAATGATGAAGGGACCACTCACCCCGGGCAGAGCTGGACAGAGACAATACTCAGTAGTAGGTACGTGTGGATGTGGTGGTTTGGGTTAGGCCAAATTTATATAGCTTCCTGGGCCTTAACCAGGCTAGGCCTGGAAACTACTCTGACAGGTGGAGAAGGAACGTGGAAGAGGGTTTGTTGGTGGGGAAAGGGCCTTGTCCTTTCTAGGGACAGCAGAGCTCCCAGGCTATGGATGCTCTTCTCAGCTTTTCCCAAAATAACTGGGAAGAACCAGAGTGAGATTGGGTTTGGGAGAGGAGGGATGCAGAGTTGAGAGAGAAAAGGTTAAGGAAGAGGAAGAAAGTAGGAATAGACTGGGGACTGGGCCCACAGTGGCCAAAGACCCCAGTATAACCCTCCCTTGGTCAGAGTCTCCTCCATTCTGCCCCAGTTCCATAGGGCCCCACGTACCATCCTGGCTGATGCCTGAGCCCACCATGGTCTCATGGCCGCTGTCAGGGGCAGCAGCAGTGGAGGCAGTGGCCCGGGTTGAGCGTCCCTCTATCGGCTGTGGGCGGGCACGGCTCTTTCGGGTACTGATGCGGATGATGCCACGGACCAAGCGGCCCTCAGCATCCTGCTCATCCAGATGGTAGTCCTGTGTGATGCTGCTAATGAGATCTGAGATCTTACTGGTTTTCTCCAGGAACACAGTGTCTGATGTGCACTTGGCCAGCTCATCAATCTGGTGTACGCTGAACAGCTCTGTCAGCTTCTTGAAAATGAGCACGTCGATCTCCCGGCTCGACATAGAGCCACTACCCATCTCCGGCAGGTCCAGGTCGGACTCATGGAAGGAGTAGTACTCCTCTGAGCCCCGGGAACTGCCAGCCAGGGTGCTAGGCAGGCTGTGCCTGGTGGGTGGGGGCTCAACCAGTAGTTCCTTACAGCAGGAGTCCGCATCAGGGGCTGACGAGGTGGTGTTTCGGTGGGGATATACAGGGATACCTTTGAGCTTGACGTCAGGGTAGCTGAAGCTACTGCCCATGGCTGACTTGAGCCGTTGGCTATCCCGCTGGCTGGGGGGTGCATGGTTGGGGCTGGGGGGCACCCCATTATGCTCCTTGGCCCAGCTGGCTTCGGCAGCTTCCTCAGCAGAGTCCCTGGCAGACAAGCAGGGACTGCAGCCCTGTACACAGGCTCCAAAGCGCTGAAGGCAATCCCGACAGCGGCGGAAGCAGAAGGCAGCCCGGCACCAGTCCCACACCCAGGATCGCCAGAGCAGGCAGCAGGCAGGGGGCTCGCTGGCCGCCTCAGCAGAGTCAGAGAAGAAGGTGAGGCTCTCAGGCCCATGACGGCCAGGGTCCTTGGGGTCTGGCTTGCGAGTGCGGCGGCTTGGTGGGGGTTGAGGTGGCTCATCATACACCTCTAGGCATTGTTCTGTTGGCCGCTCCCAGGGTCCCAAGCGGGGCGGCCCAGATAATGGGCGAGGGTGTCCGGGGCGGGGCATTGCTCACTGCATGGTTTGCTGCAGCTAAGCACCTGTGGGGAGAGACCTGGAAGACATCAGGATCAGAGGTCAGGGACAAACTCCGGGGCTGACCTAAGTTTCTAAGAGGCCTAGGATGTGGATGGGCCCAAGTATGCCCATAAATGCCAAACTATTGTTCTCCTCCCTCCCTAATGTGAACATCTCTGTGGGCTAACCCAGATTTCCAAAGTAAAATCTCCTGACATGCTACTTTCTGGGGAATGGTCTTCCCTGGTTCTTCCGTACTGTTAGTGAGCCCAGTACAGAACCTCTGAGACAGCTCAACAAGTGGCTTTCCCTATGAAATTTTTTGTTACGGACCCTGATCGTCAACTCTTTCTCTTCCTGTTCAAATCAGACACGGAATGCAACAGGCTCCCTGTCAGTATTTGTCTGGCTGAGACTTGCCTCCTATCAACATTTAACATTAAGTGCTATTTTGTTTCCTTTGATTAGACAAGAAAGCTGAGTCACAAAAGATACCTGTCTTTCCCTTTTTGACTTGGTTGCAAAGAAGCTCAGAGCTAATCTTCATTCATTTCATAAACACTAAACTTGGTCCCGTTTTAGGTCTGAAGAACCAAAATTAAATGAACAAAGTTCCAGCTCTTAATGATTCACACATGACTTTATAGGGAAAACTAGTAACATGAACATGCAGAATATATGAGACATTATGGGAGTAAATAAATCTACTGGAGGGAGTCATGGAAAATTATACAGCTGGCTGTTTGGGAGAGGACTTGAACACGTGAAGGTTTGGCAGGCAGTAACTATTCTTACTGAGATCTCAACCTCTTATCTTTTTGCTCCTAATTTAATGATAATAGGTTCCTGGGGCTGATAATATGTGAAGAACCTGGGACTGGGAGTCAGGATATCTGGGTTCTAATTCCAGCTCTGGCACTAATAGGCTATGTGCCTTGGACAAATCAATGCTAAAACAGGTTACCGCTCTCCTACCTAAATACCTTCCGGGCCCCCATGATGGCTACCTCCATTCCCTTCTATTTACTGCAGCCAATGGAAACTTAAAATACACAAGACATAAATCTAGAGAAACTCGGCAGACACCACCCTGATCAAGTGACCAAAGTTAACTAGCATCACCAATCATAGAACAAACTGACATCACGTGTTTCCTGATACAGTACACTAAGAAGGCGATATTTATTCCTGCCAAAAGCCTTACCTGAGTATAATCTTAAGAAAACATCAGACAAGTTGAAGGACATACAACTACATGAAATGTGTGATCCTGGACTGGCTCCTGGATCAGAAGAAGAAAACGGAATAATTTGGATAATTGGCAACATTTGAAAATAGACTCCAATACATCAATGTTACATTTTCTGAACTTGACTACTATGATTATATAAGATAATGTTCTTATTCTCAGGAAATACACAGCAGGATGTCAGCAACCTAACCTCAAATGATTAAAAATAATACGGTGTATGTGTAGAGAAAGAAAGAGAAGAGGGAGGGATGTTAACCACTGGTGAATTAAAATGATGGAAGATAAAGTTCTTTAACTATTCTTGCAATTCTTCAACCTACTCCCAAAATCCCATTAAGCACTCCTTCTCCAAGCATCTCCACAACCCCTACTTGGAATCTAGTTAGATGGGAGTCTCTCTTGTCCCCTACCCCAGCCTACTGCTGGGCTCTGTTAGCTGGGTTAGACTTATACTTATTGTTTGAGGAATAAGCCTGTCTCTCAAAGGACCATTACCCCAAAGGGCAGGGAGTGTGTCTGATTCCTTTCTGCCTCAATGCCTGGAACAGGGCTGGGTACAGCAGGTGCTTCAGGGGACTGACACAGCCTGTGTGACTTCAGGGGTAGATACAGGACCATTGGGTACAAAGAAAAAGGACTTAGCCTCCAGGCTAACCAGAGTGGGAATCATCCTCTAACAGAGGGTAGGGTGAGGGTGAGAGCCCATCTCCAAAGGTATGCAAACTGAACTGCAATAGGTAACTTAAAAGGCCTTTACAACCCAGAAAGGCAGTGGTTTGAGTAATGTGGGGATGGGTAGAGATGCATCCATGACCTCAGTGAACACATATTTACTGAGGGTCTGCTGAGGGCCAAACAGTCTTCTAAATTCTGTGGATGCAGTGATGAAACAAGACAGAATGTCCTACTCTCAAGAGCTTCCATTCCACCGACAGCTACCTTATTCTGTTGTTCTAGGGGTCTTGGTATGGCACTGTAGGATAAGCACTAGACTGTAAAATCGGTTTGAACCGCAAGGTCAATGGTTCAAACTCACCATCTGCTTCTCAGAAACCCTATACAGGGTGGCTATGAGTTGGAACTGACTCAACAGCACTTTAACAACAACAACAACAACATTGTTGTAAGTGCTTTAGAGGTGGTAACAACTCTATTGTAGACCTTTATAATTATTGTTATTGTATGACACTATAGGGTAAGCACTGGACTAAAAACCATCAGGTTGCTGGTTCAAACACACTAGCGCTCCTTGGAAACCCTATACAGGGTCAATTTTAGTTGGAACTGACTTGGTGAAACTTAACAACAACAACATACCGAGGCACAGAAAGATTAAATAACTTATCCAAAGTCATACATCTATTTATACCTAAGCAACCTGGTCCAGAGTCTTATCTACTCCTCTCATCTCTCAAAGGACCAAAGGATGAGGTGGGAGGAGGGAGGCAGCTGCCAGCTCCATGGAGAAGCCTGTGCCCAGGAGGGCCCACCTTGGGAGCCCTGAATGTTATGGGGTCAGGTCTGGATGAGGAGGGTGGGCAGATCTACACTGCTTCATCATACTGAGCTGTGGGAGACCTGGGTCAGAGCATCAAAGGGTTACTGATATTGGGCTAGGTCATCAGCTCCTTATGTGTTGGAGGTACTCTGGTAGCGTAGTGGTTACGAGTAGGGCTGCTAATCTCACAGTCAGCAGTTTGAAACTACCAGTGGTTCTGCAGGAGAAAGATGAGGCTTTCTGCTCCCCTAAAGATTTACATACAGCCTGGGAAATGCTGTACAGGGTCACTATGAGTTGGAACCAGCTCCATGGCACATAACCACCACCACTATGTGTTGTAGTTCTGGTATGTGGGAATCCTGATGGGGTGCTGCAGGTTAATGAGCTGGACTGCAAAGTCGGTGGTTCAAGCTCACCAGCTGCTCCTTGGAAACCCTATACAAAACTGGACGCCACTTAACAACACTACTATGCTCTAAATACTGTACTAAATATTAGGGAAACAGCAGCTTCTGAGTCAGACCCAGGCTTCAACCCAAGAGAACTTTTGCCTTATTTAATTATTTAACGAATGCCCTGTAGGTATAGCATCCCCACCTTACAGATCAGGAATCTGAAGCTCAAAGAGGTGGTGGGACTTGCGCAGAGCCTTTTAGTTGAAGGAACAGGGTTTGAACTGCTCTGTACCATACATCGGTAGTGGTACATTGAGGGGTAAAGGCTGGGCATAGCCTCAGCTCCCCCTTCCTTCTGTGCCTCGAAACCTCATGAAGCAAAACCCTGCCCACTGCTTTCAGGTTACATCTCCCCCTGCATGCATGCTGCTGTCCCACCTCCAAAATCCTAGTAACACTGCTCACTTGTTTTAGTAAGGTCAGGGTCCCTACGTCTGAGGTAAGATGAGAGACTGTGTGCAGGGCCTTAGCGCGGTGCTTGGCACTGGGAGAGGCTCAGTCACCGGCGCCCCAAGGCACCGCAAGGATCTTCCCAGGAGTCAGACGGTCCGGGGCGCGCCCTCCCCAGACTGCTCACTGATGCTCCCCCCCACTCCCTAGTACTTGCAAGCACGCACACACTCAGAGGTTTGTCTTCCCACCATCCTCTCTTCGCAGGGTCCCCAGACTTGCTCACCAAACCGCCGTTTCGTACGGCTCCAGGCACACGCACCCTCGGTCTCCTGCCCCAAAGGCTCAGCCCGATTCACCATCCACAGGCATCTAGTCCTGGCGACAAGAGAACCAAACTCCCGCAGTGTCGCAGGACGAGCTGAGCCCCTACTCCGGCACTGCCCTCGGCAAAGCACCACCCCTTCCAGCAGCAAGGGCCTCTGGCAGCGAGCAGACCCAGCCTCTCTCCCGCGCAACACGGTACCTCAGGGGGAGCACGGCCCCCTTACCCATCTGGACACCGCCCCACCCCCAGGCGGGCCTAGCTCCCGCCCCAAGCCAGCGCCGCCCTCCCGACGAACTCGGCTCCCCTTACCCCGCTCTGCCCCAGCGCCCGCTCAGGCCGCTGCCCGGCCCGGCCCGCGCACCCCGGAAGTGGGAGGATGGCCCGAGAGGAACGGGTCTTATGATTCTCCCAAATCAGAGCACCACCTCGGGGGTCTTCCCACACTAGCCCCGCCCTGGTACGCACTACCTCGGGTCCGCGCGGTGCTTACCTGTCCCACCAGGTGAGCCGCCTCTGGCCCGGTCCCTCCCCCCGCCCCCCTAACCGCTCACCTGGGGCCCAGGTGAGCGTCTCGCGGGAGCGCTGCACGGGCCGCCGCTGGGGACACACTTCTTGTCTCCGCGAAATGCCGTCGCGCACCTGGACCGAGGCCCCGCCTCCAGGGCTGGGCGGACCCGCCCCCGGATTGAAGAGCGGGGCCTGCAGACTCCGGAGCCTAACTTGGCTCGGTTCAGATGAGGCCTTGTGGAGCAGCGGCCTAGCCCTGATCCTCAGTCTTCTCGTCTGTTTAATGCACAAATGGCCCCAGCAGTCTCTGAGCGCCGGGGAAGCGCTGCTTGATTTTAAAGGCCCACCTCAAAGGGCATGCCTTCTGGGAAGCCTTCCCTGGCAGTGTCTGGTTTTGTTAAATTCTTGTAGAACGTTCGCTGCATGTCTTTGTCACAGTACTCACTACACTTGTTTTGTCTTCTGTCTTCTTCAGCGTGTGACCTTTAGGACAGAATCTGGTCTTGTTCCACTGTGTTCCTGGTGCCCAGTACAGGGCCTGGCACACAGCAAATAATGAATGGCGAGGCTGGGCTCTGGTTTCTTCCTTTGCCCAGCCCAAGGCCAAACTGGATGCCTGGATCCTGTACTCACTGGGCAGTTCACCTTTTCTTCTGTTTGGAAAATCTGCAGAAGTTGAAGGCGAGTTCCTCCCCTCTAGACTCAACGGCACTTACCATCAATAACAGGCTTTAAGCAGGATGGAGAACAGGCTTTAAGCGGGATGGAGGAAAGGTGGGGCTTGCAGCTTGGATAGGCACATCCCTGACAGAACCAACTTGCCCAAGCTGGCCACAATCATCGATCATGGGGGGCTCAGACTATTCTGGGTTCTGCTCCCAAATTTAATAATGTCAATAAAAAATGACTTTTAGGGAGTATCTCCAGGATCCATGCTGAAGTCTTTAAAGGTATCCTTTAATCCTTCTGCTAATATGTGAGGTGGGTCCAGTTTTGTCATTCCTATTTTATAAAAGAGAAAATTGAGGCTTAGTGGGGGAAATTATTTACTCAGGCAGTTGGCATATACCAACTTCTTTATCTATGGTAATAATAGTCCCTCTCTCCAACTACTAGTGTGGTGTCCCAGTTGGAGAGAGGGACTATTATCTTTGCAGCTAAGGAAGCCATGGTATTTTCAATAACCTCATATGCATGCGTAAGCTGGACAGTGAATAAGGAAGACTGTAGAAGAATTGATGCCTTTGAGTTATGGTGTTGGAGGAGAATATTGAAAGTACCATGGGCTGCCAAAAGAATAAACAGATCTGTGTTGGAAGAAGTGCAGCCAGAGTGCTCCTTGGTGGCCAAGATGGCCAAACTTCGTCTTTCATACTTCAGACATATTGTCAGGAGGAACCAGTTGCTGGAGAAGGATATCATGTTTGATAAGGTGGAAGGTCAGAGAAAAAGAGGAAGACCTCCAATGAGATGGATTGGCCAAGTGGCAGTATCGATGAACTCAAGTGTGGCAAAAGTAGTGAGGTTGGCCCAGGATCGAGCAGTGTTTCGTTCTGCTGTGCATAAGGTCGCTATGAGTCGGTGCAGACTCGATGGCACCTAACAACAACAACAACAAGGAAACCAACTTTATTTGAATTTGAATCATGGTGTTGGTGAAGAATATTGAAAGTACCATGGACTGTCAAAAGAACAAACAAATCTGTCTTGGAAGAAGTACAGCCGAATGCTCCTTGAAGGAGAGGAGGGTGGGACCTTGTTTCACATACTTTGGACATGTTGTAAGGAGGGACTAATACCTCTAGAAGGACATCATACTTGGTAGAGGGTCAGAGAGAAACAGGAAGAGCCCAGGTGAGATGGATTGACAAAGTGATTTCAAAATGGGCTCAAACAATAATTGTGAGGCTGACACAGGACTGAGCAGCATTTCGTTTTGTTGTACATACGATCTCTATGAGTCAGCACCAACTGGGAGGATTAAACAGATAATGGATGTAAAAGGAGATAAAGGATGTAGGAAGAGGTAACTGAGGTAAAAACTCCAAGATTTCAGTTAACAGCTGAGCACATTAACTGCTTGAATCACACGTGAATTGTCTGTTGGTATTTGGTACCATTGAATAGATTTCAATTGGCAAATGGAAGGAATTCAGTACTGCCTAGCCCCTTCCCGCCAAGCTGTAACAAAGACACTCGACCTCCCACCCTGGGTCTCCTTTCAGTATCTCCAAGATGAAGACACTGTGATTAGGACAAGTCCTTTGTCCCTTTTGCGTGGCCAGGATGAGAGACTTCTTGGAGGGTGATTCCCACAGCAGCTAGGAGCTTCCTTCCATGTGTCACTTTTTACGGCATCATCCTGTCATTCCATAGTTGTTCCACTATGTGCACATAGTAGGTGTTCAGTTTCCACCAGAGATCTTCCATGGCAGTTTTTCTACCATGTTTGCTTTCTGTTCCCACTCAGGACAAGTGCCACCGTTGTATCTTCATTTTGAACTCAGAAAGTGAAACACTTACTGTGTACAGTGAGCATTCACATATCCTAAGTCTCAGTAAGTCTATTCCTATGGAGTTATGGATTAAATTATGTCTCCCCAAAATGCGAGAGTGAGTCAAAAATTATCCACATTCTGGCTGTAGATTTACCTTAACCAACTTTTAAAAAAGACAAAATACATCATTTTTCAACATAATCTCCTTGCTTTTCAATACACATTGTCCATCTGTCAACAAGCTTTCATACTCCTTTACTTAAAAATGTTTTAGGCTGAGCTAGAGCCACAAATGCACTGCTGTCTTCACTTCTTAATCAGAAGTGAATTTTTATCCTTGAAGGGCTGCTTTCAGGAAATCAAACAGGTGAAAGTCCAATGGAGCAAGATCAGACTATAGGAAGGATGCTTCAGCACCTCAAAATGAAGCTTTTGCAGAGTGTCAACAGTGTGGACAGAGGTGTGCAGACATGCATTGTTATGCAGGATCACAACACCCTTGGATAGCAATCCTTTAATTTTTAATCCTAAATTTAAGCTTCAACTCTTCAGTGAGCATCTCACTGGAAGAGAACTATTGATTGTTGAACTTTTTCCTGATAGTGTTCCAATACTGGCCCTTGAGAATCCCAGCAACATAAGCATCAATTTTTCAGCTGATGGTTGACTTTTCAACTTTTTCTTGGTAGGGGATTGACGATGTTTCCATTCCCTAATCTGTCGTTTACTTTCAGGCTCATAGTGATGAGTACTTGTCTCATAACTAGTAAGGATTTTTTAAAAGAAACTTTTACCTTCTTTCGAGTATTAGTCCCAATTTTGTTTGCAGATGTCCAAACGCTTCTGTGTATGTTCTTCTGTAAATTGTTTCAGTACTCATTTTACACAAACTTTTTTTTTTTTTTAATGTTTTATTGTGAATTCGGTGATAGTTTACATTGGAGAACACTGGTTTTACATTCATTCTATCATATATCATATCATTGCCATGGTTACAATCCCCTCCATGGAATCCTTCCCCTATACCCCCCAGGTCTTCAGCACACAGTCGCTCTCCCTCTCTGGATCTAATGTCTCCAGCTGCTCCATCGCTCCACCTCATCATCTCTGGCTCCATTTCAGGCATCACTGCTTCTCTGGGTAGCTCTCTGCTCTTCTCCGTTGATGGTCCTAGGGACCTCCACTCCTAGACTGAAAAGTTAATCGCTCCCCTCCTTGCTATAAAACGTCTACCTTTATATTTCCAACCCTCACAATCAGTACTGATAACAATTATTCACTATTGTATCACAAGAGACCCATCTGCATTTCATTGCATCAGCCCTGCCTAGTCAGATTGAATACTACTCACTGGAGATTCTACCTTCCTCCAGGCCCTCTGGATCTAGGTTCCCTCTTGAAAGCTTGTAAGCCAGTCACTTCTTGCCTTTGTAGGCCCCTCCCCCCCATTTTGGGTAGCCAATGTTCAAGTTGCCCATCTCTGTCTACTCTGTGTGTGGAGGGGGTGGGAATGATTCTTGCTGTAAGGACTTGTTCCCTCTTTTGAGCTACTGCTTCCATAGGTGTAGGTCAAGTTCATCAAATTGTATGAGAATACTTTTTTTTTTTTCCCCTCTTCTTTTTACTTCTGGTTGAGCTCTGATCATCCAGTCATTGAAGCCAGGATAAGTGGGTATTATCTGCAAGTGTGGGTGTTCTTATGCATATGCCCTCTCTTCTTATCAGCTGGACACTTTACTCTCTGCTCTAGTCCTCTTTACACAAACTTTTTAAAACCTAAATCTGTCGTGGATTATTTCATAGGCAGAACCATGGGTGATTTTCAAATGATTTACCACATAATCCATTGTCACTCTTCTATTGAATAGAATCATTTCAGATGCACGCTCAATGTCATCATCAGCCATGGACATAGACGGGCATTTTAGCATAACCAGAGTGGAGATAATTTTTTATTCATTCTTATATGTATTGTAAATCCTAACCACTATTTGGGAATGGGTTGTCTTTGTCATGTTAATGAGTAAGGATTCATTTAGGGTGTATCTCTATAAAAGAGATTAAACAAGCAAGCAGAGAAGTTGCTGTTAAGTGCCAACAAGTCATTTCCAACCCACAGAGACCCTGTATAGGGTTCCCAAGGAGCAGCTGGTGAGCTTGAACTGTCGACTTTGCAGTTCAAATGACTTTGCAGTCTGACACATTAACCCACAGCATCACACCAGGAGAAGAGATGGGGTAAAATAGATGCTCAGTCAGATGGTGATTGCCAAGGAACCAGGAAGCAGAAGCCAAAGAAACTAGAAACTTCCTCCAGAGCTAACAGAGAGAGAAAGCCTTCCTCTAGAACCTCCAGCCTGAATTCAGACTTCAAGGCTCCTAAACTGTGAGAAAATAAATTTCTGTTATAGTCGCACTAGAGTACCACCACAGATGCACCAGGAGACATACGCAAAAGTGGACATGTAGAAACATTATTCAATATAGCCCCAAGCTGAAGAACCCAAATGTCACTGGCAGGAGAATGGATAAAGAAATGTAGAGTATT